TTAGTATGAACAATCAGATTTAGTAGTAATTGTCTGAACACGACTCGACTGACTGACTTGCTCGCTCAGACTGACAGACTTCTGACGGACCTCACTCCAGACTTCAGACTGAACTCCCTGCTTCCTTTTGAGGCGCAGTATTTATTACGTATGGAATAGTCCATTATGTTATTATGGGTAAGGTCCCATAACAGTTTTTCTGGTCACAAATTGTATCATTCTTCAGTTGTTCAGCACTAGTCAGCTGTATTGAGTTGTCCTGCACCAAATGAAGATACTACGATAAGGAAACGGTGTCTATACCAACAATACACATGCAACCAATCAGTACTTGATAGTGATTGTGTAGAAATAGACGCAACATCATACAAAATGAACAATATATTTAATCATATTTATAGTAAACATAAAGTAGTGGTTTCCTGTTATATTTTAACTGTAAATTAAACTGTAAATATATTACATCATTGTAGGACACTACACACATTCTAGATGAGCAATATCTTCTTTTTATCTTTTTACAGGTTGTGGGTGACTATTTCTCCCCAAAATTTCTTCTCTTTTGTTGCTCTAAGTAACTTTTGCCACTTTACCATCCCTCTTTTTTTAAGGCAATAAAGCCACTAAGACACAAGGGGTTACTGAGTTAGAGAATATGAGATGAAAAAACATTATTAAAGAAAAAGAATGATAAAAGAACAGGAATTAAGAAGACAGAATATAACAATCGACATTACATTTAACATTTGAAGATCAAAGGTGCCGGTGAAGTGAGAAGTCAAAAAGAAAGTTCCACAAGCAAAAAGTGTGATAAAATAAACTATTAGCATAGAACTTATGGTTATATGGTATGGTGTTCTTTTCAATGTTGGGGTTCACCAGTATGGTATATAGAGATGAAGGTTGGGCTTATACATAAGTAAAGGCAAAATTTACTGTCCATAGTACCATTTTATTGTTGACTCCAGTTGGTTACAGTGGCTAAAGTGGGTGACTATTATCGTAGTCCTTTTTGTGATTTGGGAGTTCATACAGGGTCATTGTGTTTTTTTTGGCTGACAGAAATTAATTTGTTGAATTCATCTTTTTTTCTTCTGGAGTTGTATGTCTGGTCATCTCACATCCGATGACTTTCCAACCCTTGCATCTCAAACAGCTACAACAAACCAATTTCCTATTTCTTCTCTTCTTTTTCTTCTTCTCCTTCTGCTTCACACATGATTTTCTTCTTTTTATTGGGCCTGACATATCTGTGTTTTCTATTTGATTTTTGACAGGACATGTCATTGGTTGATTTTTTTTATGATGTTCACTGACCCACATAAGCTATGTCTGGGTTCTGTTAGTTACTGAGGATAGGAACAATAGAAGGAAGGAAAGGAAATATGTATAATAGAGAGAGAGAGAGAGAGAGTGTTCTTTGTCACTCTCTTAGTGAAAAGGAAAGTGTATATTTCCATATGGTGTTACTACTACCTAATCCTACTACAGTTACATCTAGCAAGCTCAAGTAAAATGATGAGACCTAACTGCCAATCTTGTCCTTGTTTTGCTATCCATAAGGTAAATGGTAAGTAACCTATTACAAAAATATGGCACAGAGAAAATCTGATAAGAAAGAATGACTAAATTTGAATTATGCCTGCTAAATGGCATAATATACTTTCCATATTAGACAATAGCACAATAATACAAATTCATATCTCATTAGCAGTTAATTCTTTAATTTTGATGCACATTTCATATTTAATGTTTATATAATATAAAAATCATCTGAGTATTATAATAAAATGTATGAAAAAACAATGTGATACACTAATTGCCAAAAACAAGAAAGATGAGGATATTAGTCTGATTGTAAATAATCTAAATAATGATGACTCATGATACCAGAAATTCAGGTAGAAATAAAAAGTAATGAAAAATTAATAATCACTACAGTTATTTACGTTCTTTGAATAGTAAAAAAATTATTAAATGATTTAATAAATTTAATTTAATAAAAATATGTTACAGTTGTTTATAGCATTTGAAATTTAGGATGTTTTATTGTTTGTTTACATAAACAATGATATTGTTTCTTTTTCTGCACATCCCAAGATATACTTTAGTGAACTGGAAAAAGAAATACAATAATTTTTGCAACTAATAGAACCCAACATGACTACTGTTGTCTGATACATTTTGCCGAGTTTTCCTGTACCTCCTTCTTGCAATATATTTTAATAAATGACAATTTTATTAATATAAAACACTGTAATGAAGACACAAACCTATAGCATGTCACTTGTAGCAAAGACATAATTAACACCTGGTACCATTAGTGACAGGTGGCTGTTGTCCAGCAAACAATAATTTTACTTGAATTTCAAAGATATTCTGATTGTGTACAAGCTTAACTTTTTAACCAATGCCTAAGGAAAATATTCTAAAGAATGAATATGGAATCCTTGAATAGATAAGAGCAGTATGAATGAAATAGTCATTTGAAAATTGCTGTCAGATATCTGCCATATTTAAACATACACTGTAGATGATAGTGTGGTTTTAACCACAAAGAAAACAGTGCTATAAATAACAATAATGGAAAAATCAAAAAGTTAAACAAATAATGATCTGTGGAAATACAGAGGCTCTACCATATTATTTGCAATTTTAAATATATCAATTATACATGTATAATTTGCTCTTATACAAAAGTCATACCACAAATTCTGAATTATATAAGGCTACAAAACTTTTTATATTCAAATTTACATGAGAGTTCATATAATTCTTTTTTTTTATGTGCTAAGTCATTTCAGGATGTGGGCAATCACAGCTCTCCACAACTTCCTGTCTTTTGTTGTTCTAAACAGATTTTTACTCTTTATCATCCATCTTTCCCTTTCTTGCTATCCATTCATGCAAATTCATTAAGTACATTACTTGCTAATTCTCTATGCTTCTATTGCTTTCTATGTCATGGAACTATTAAATTTGCTATGCCCTCTTTCCTCATTATTTATAAATTTACAAATTCAAGTTGTTTCTTTCTGATTATATGTTTCCTTGGTGTTCAAATTTTCCTTAAGACCACCTTGTTCCTCCCATGCTCTATGTCAGAAAATGTATTATTGTCCAAATAATTTGTTTTTTAAATTCAGTGTTGTAAACATTAAAACTAATTTCTTCACCCTTATTGGATTTTTTATCACAGTTTTGGCTACTATAATCCCCGGCCTTCCTGAGATATCAATTGTATTCAGGAATATCAAACATTATTCTGATTGATTTGTTGTCTTCTTTACAGTTTATCAACCTTTTGAAGGTTATTTAAAGCCAGAAAATATTTTTAGATTGCATTAACTTTTTGGAGATAATAATGATGCAAGTGCTACTATCTAACTCATATATGGGGGTAAATAAGGTTGATTCATAGCTTTCCCGAGGGTATTTGCACCTCAGTGAACATAACAAACACATCTGGAATTATGACTCAGTTCTCCACTTTCCAATTCTTATCCATTACATCACCCATACATCCAAGCTTTCAGTACCTGGCACCCCCAAGCAGTCACCTATCTAAGTAATGACCAGGCTTGATATTGCTTAACTTTGGTGTTTATACGGAAACCTTCCCCAGAAAAAAGTATGCACTACCTTTCATGGCTTCTATATATTTATCACAGTAAGCAATCTGTAAGTAGTAGATATTTATAAAGAAGTGACAAATATTTTCAGTAACAAAAAATAAATTATTAATTTACACAACACATTGTTTTATCAAATAAAAATTGAGGTGCAAATGGCCTAATGGTTAACAGCACAGAGAAGGAAATCAGCAAACTAAGTTCAATCTCCGGCTGAGACAGTTTGTATTCACTTTGAATTAAAGCCATTAAGAAAAGCATGAATCCATTTCTCCTAGCTATAGGCAAATAGCAGTGTAGTTGGAAACCCTATAAGGCAGTTCATCTTGGGTGTCGACCAAGTAACCCAACTCCATAAAAATTAATTTGCTAGTGAATGAAACCATAGCAGTATCATTCAATGTGATTTTGGCCCTCTCCATGCTTCATAAGAAGTTTGCAGTTATATATAAACAAAAATTAAAAACTATTTTCTCATTATTTATATTTAGACATATATCTTTTTCTTTGTCATTATTGCCACAATGTTTTGGGTGCTGTGCTCTTTGGTTTTTTCAGGTGTCTGTTGATCTGCTTATGTAATCCACGATATCTTGCTTGTGATGAAAATTCAAATTTTTTTAATGCTGTATCCATTCAGGGCTTGGAAATCATGGCTCTCCATATATTTTTCTTTATTATCCGTGAATTACTTTGTCTACTTGGGAAAGATAGTGGAGTAGTTTCCTGTGGCATTCTACATGGACTGAAATTCAAAGTTTTCCTTTTCTAAGATTAGTTGCAACCCAGGGTTAGAGAACTTGTAGAGTGAGTTACCATTGTTAAATGTAAATAAATGGCAAAAGTGTCCAACAAACAGAATTGACAAAACAAAAAAAGAAAAGCAAAGCAGAGGGCAAAAATAATATGAAGCAAGCAAACAATATACACAAGGCAAATTAACAGTAATAAGGCAAAGCAATAATAATGTGACAAAGTTCACAAACTAAGAATTGGTGTTAACACTCAAGAGCAAGTTCAAATAAGTGAATGTAGTGTACTGATTTTAAGACAAGACAGACCAGGATTGAGTCAGATGAAACCGAGAACTGGCCTATTTTATTGGCTAGGAAGAAACCCCAGCATACATTTGTGTGCTTCTGTCTATAAATTGGAGAGGGGCAAGTGTTTTGCAATCATTCCTGATCTAGATTGGAATCAACAGAACTCAGTCTACCCTACATATTCAACCCATAGCTAGAAGCAATAGAAATGGTTTCACACCTTTTCCAAAAGTACTAGTGTGAAAATGAATGCAACAGATTAGGCTGGAATTATGTATAAAAACAATATTTTAGAAGAAAGAAATTTGATGTTTTTAATACTTAC